TTTTGTTTTGTTTTTTTATTTGGGTAGGTTTTGGGGGCCAGGCCATTTTTACCCCCTGGGGAAAATAAAAGGAGGGAGAAAGGAAAAGGGGAGGAAACCTCCCCTCTCCCACCTTCACCTGTAGCTTCTTGAAAAATTGGCCCCTACGGAATAAATCTGCCAGTTTTTATAAATGCTAAGGTTTCTGGAGTGATTTGAAGGGCCGCTCTGGGGGATGTGCCCCTCCCCCAGCAAACTCCCTTCCCCTCCTCTTCCTGTTCCGGTTCCCACGGGGCTCCTGCACCTGGGTGGTCTCAATACCCTCTCAGCCTCCTCCTGTCCCCAAGCCTCTTCTGGGCTGCCTCCTCATTCCTTTCCCCCCTGCACCAAACAGTTCAGTACCGTAGAGAAAGCTAAGCATGGTCCTTCACTGACTGTGTGGCATCGGGCAAGTCCCTTTGCTACCCCTGGGCCTCAGTTTCCCCATCTGGGAAAGGGCTTACGGGATGACTCTGCCCTTCCTGTGGGACTCCTCCCAGCTTCTCTCCTAATTTCAGTGAGCCTTGTACCCATTTTGTAGATGTACGTCATGGTTCTCTGACGCATTCTTAAAGATGACTTCTTTACCCCAGAGCTCCTTTAATTATAAAATATTTACAGTCTTGAAAAAAAAAATAGAATTCAGAAGTCACAGAGCTCACACACACCCCCTTCAGTGGTTCAATGGGTTGGCAGGGGGTAGGTGGGGTAGAAAACCCTGCCTGGTTGGAATATTCCATTCGGATGGGGGTGGGGGACTTCAGAGCTGAGGGGCAGGTGGTCCCACTGCGTGAAGGAGGGTGAGGTGGTGGGCTGGGCGATCAGTCCAAAGGCAAGAAGGAAGAAGGAATCCCTGAGTACTTGAGAGCAGGCTTGGATGGGATGTGACAAGTGACCCATGTAGCAGGGGACTGGGTGGGTCCCTATGAAGGGCTAGCAGGGAAGGACAGTGGAAAAGGACAACAGGAGGTCCAGAACTTCAGGTACACAGAGCCTTAGACCGACACAGAATGGCCCATCCCCAGGCAGGACCAATTTTTCTGTCCCAGAGGACCAAGTCCTGTTGGAACAGACCACAGGCGGTGGGGAGACCCTGTACCATGCGTTATGCCGCAGACTAAAGTGGGGGGTATCTGTTGGAATGATCCACTTGAGGGGGTGACCTGCTGAGGTACGAGTGGTTGGTGGACTGAAGGCAGGAGCCACAGGGTGACTCACTGGGCAGAAGGCCCTCCAAGACCCATCCTTCTCTGTCCCCTCCAAAGTGAGGTAGATGGAAAGTGACCGGGTCTGTAAACCCACTGGGAGCTTGCATTTTCTTTATAATGGTCTGCACCAATGAAGAAGGGGGAAAGGG